TAAATTGTTCAGGACTTGCCGCTTCTATTTTGAAATCACTCGGGAGGGCTTAAATAGCACCTCCGAGTACAATTTTTACTAAAAACTTGGACCGAACAATTTGATTTTGACATGACCTTGTTAACATGAACTTAATTACACGAAAAGAGGGTAAAGGAGTGTATACCCTTCAGTTTGGCTGACAAACGCACAAAGACTTGCGCGTGTGTTCGGTGCTCGGTTTGGCGTGAGCTTGCTTCCCTTTTGCTTCGACAATCCTTAGCTATTATTATATAATTTTTCCTCTATTTTTCCTTACTGTTTTCTCTCTATTTAGTGCTCTGAAATTGCATGAGAATGCATGGGGAGAATGTCCCACATGCTCGGTTATTTATGGAGATAAAAATCGAGAGTAAAATGGGGTCAAAGGAGGTGGAAGATGACATTATTTCCTTTGATTACAAGTGTCCAAAGCACGGCTGAAGTGTTGGGCAAATTTTGCTTAGTCATTGCCGAGGTGGCGGACATGCACGGCTTAGTCATCACTTGTGCGTCCGTGGCATGCCGTGTGTGCAAGCAAGGAGGTGACTCATCACCCCACTTGCACACCCAACATTTATCCTTTGGATTTCCCTCACGGTAATTCTTAGGATGGGGTTTGGCTTCATCGAGTTGCTAAGCATTGCCTAAGTGCGTGCTTAGCGGGCTAATGACGCGCGCGCTATGCGCTGCGCACGACAATGCGCGCTGCTGGCGGCTACGTGTACGGTTGCGTACGTTGTGCATGTATGCATGCGTGCATAGTGCATTTGAGTGTATTCACCACTTAACCTTAGTTTCGACTATGAACTTAGTTCCGAATATTCTTAACTTTTAATAATTAATCCCGATTAATAATGTACGTTTATAAAATAAACGGTTCGGAAATTAATTATCGAATTTGACTCGGTTAGTAATTAACCGAATTAACTTTTCGACTTAAAGTCGAACTTATTTGCTGAAAAATGAACGGAATCAATAAAAGAAAATACATCGCTTTATTAACAAAAAGTTGGGTTATTACATGCTCTTTGATATGACCCTAAACTATTCACATATTCAAATGTTTCTTGATATGAGCCTAAACTATCTACAAATTCGATACTCTTTGATACGAGTCTAAACTATCCACATATTCAAATGCTCCTTGATATAAGCTTAAACTATCTACAATTCTCCTTGATAAGAGCCTGAACTATCTATAAAGCTCTTCGATATGACTCAAAACTATCTAGATATCCAATTTAAATTCTCCTTGATAAGAGCTTAAACTATCTATATAGCTCATTTACAGGAGCATAAAATGTCTACAAGTTTGAAGATCTCCTTGACACGAGAATAAAAGGTCTACAAGTCAAATATGAAGCTCCTTGATACGAGCATAAAATGTCTACAAATTTGAAAACTCTTTCACACGAGTATAAAATATCTGCCAAACCATATGAAGGACTCATTGTATAAACTATCTACAAATCTAATCAAATCAAGAACTTCTTGATACGAGTATAAACTGTCTACAAATCAAATCCAATGAAGAACTCCTTGATATGAGTTTAAACCATCTACCAAGTCAAATCAAGAACTCCTTGATACGAGTATAAACTATATGTCAAATCAAATAATGACTTCTTGATACGAGTTTAAACTATCTATAAATCAAGTAAAATGAAGAACTACCTGATATGAGTTTAAACTATCTACAAACTCAAGTCGAAGA